GAAAAATGACTCAAGTGCAAAAGAAGAAAATGAACAATGACTAATGTTTGTTCAGTTTCAGACTGATTTTTAACACGCAGGATCAAACACTGTTTCAGTCATTATTATGAGTTTGTAGCAGTTCAATAGTAAGAATCTCGAAACGCTGATGTTGATAAAGGTAAAATTATTTCTCTCCAGCTCTGATGCTGCCATTATTGTTTAACCAGCAGCTGCCAGTATTTCCTAATAGGATGTAAGATGCGATCTTGTGATCATATCGGTGAAATGTGTTAGCATATTTAAGACCCGAGCAGCAACCGCTATGAAGCACTATTAAACTGTGTGGAATTATTATTTTTCCGCTAAATTAATCGCATTTTTGGCTGCAAACGCAGCTCGAGACACGTTTTACTGATACGTATGATATATTTAACAAACTCCTAAAGAATTGATCGGATCAACTTTAAATCATTGCGATTAAAAGTTGTGTTCTTTGCGTCCAATAACGTGTCTGTGTTGAATTCTGACGCATCGCCATGAAACAGGAAGTTGTCATAACTTCAGTTTACTTGAGTTGACTGTCCGATCTCAACAAAACATCACACGTTTGATAAGAATCCCGCCCTGAACACGTCTGACTTTCAGGTATTCAGTTCACGGTCTGCACACGAGGCTGATGCTGCAACCGCAGACTGCGAGGGATCATCGCCGCTTGCAGCTTTAATTTGCATTTACATTTTCTGTATCGCTGGTCGAGAACTCAAAGATTCACTACACAACACCACCAGCTTCAGTTTGAAGAGAAGAGCTGCAACAGAGAGACGGTGGGTTAGAGGAAAGTTGAGAGCTGGAGAATGAAACGAGAGAGAGTGGGAGGACTGACAGAGAGAGAGAGAGAGATCCTCTCATGAGCCGGTGAGTCAGAAAACTTCCAGTCACGACTGATTCTACTCAGAGCTGAACTTATTGTTCCAGCCGTGTGTGTGTGTCAGGTTTCCATGAAAGTCCTCACACACCCTCGATCCTGCTCGTACTGAATTCACCTCGTACGGGAGCGAGGACGCCCCCGCGTCTCACAGCGAACCACGACTTAACTCAGAACTCACTCTGTTCTGAACAGACAGATAATTCAGCTTTCTTTCAGCGGGACCTTGACGAGCTGTTTAACAGACTCCTCACATAAAGATGTTTCTCCAAAAGAGCAGGTTTAACAAAGTCCCTTCCCCAAATGGTACGACTGTATTCCACTCTACTCGCTCTATTTCGGTTCTCCATTATAAACAGTACCCGGTGCTCTTTTGGTATCGAGCTAGCTCGGTCAAAGGTCCAAGCGAACAGCAGACGGAACGGGGCAGACGGAACGGGGCATCAATAGCGAACACAATTTTTTAATTCCCGCACTTTTTGCCAGATTTGCAAAGATTTGTTCATCAACAGATAAAAGATGGACGTTGATGAGATGAGCTAAGTTAGCATAGCCATGATCAACCAAACTCCATTCAAAAAAACGAAAGTCATTTCGGCATCTTTTTCATGCGTTTACTGCAATTAAATCACAGCAGTTTGTTTTGGGTTCGTACCGGTGTGGTAAGCTTGATTAAAGGTTAATATGCAACAGAAATAAGCAGCGCAAGGTGGATATTAGCTTTCTGTGTGAACATCAAACCTCCAGACCTGCTCTCTGCTCTGTATCACAGTCAGATATTTACCTGCTGTCACCAGGATCAACAGTCCTTTTGTGTGCCTTCACCGTCGACTCGTATAATTAAATATGACAGCGGGATACACATTCATATTCGATGTCAGAGAACGGCTAGCAAACACACACACAACTGACTTCATTCAGAGAATGAATCACATGGCTGCTATTAAGGGACACACAGAGGAATATCCAACACCTGCTCCTTCATATCATCACTGAAACCCTCCAGGAATCTAACTCCCGCAGAGGAGCCGATTGTACTGAAATAATCAATCAGCAACCGGCCAGAAAGGTGACGTGTTCATTCAGCACTGAACAGACCTTAAAGGATTGATTTATAGACCTTATTGATCAGATTCAGGGCTCTTTATTGCTCCTTCTGGTCCCCTACGATCTGGTATGTATGTATGACGGGACAGACCTTCACCTGAGTCGTCTTACATTGTTTCTATCCAGGCTGTCCCGAATACCGTCGTTTTGGGCTTTGAAAGCTTCAGTGAGAATGACCAGCGAATATTCGAGGGTTACTATGTGCTCTGAAGGGGTCGATCACGAGTCTGGGATGCAAAACAAGCGTTTTGCAGTCCGTCCTGGACATCACAGGCTGTTTTCGGGGGATTGTTGTGGCTAAAAATACCTGATTTCACTGCAGGTTTTCAAAAGAAACTGTCAAACCAAACTCCATTCAAAAAACTGCTGTTTATAGAAGGACCATCACTGAGACTCTCTTCAATCTACAGTCACATCTCACTGGCTCAGTAACATCATTAACTAACCTGGGAGGAAGAGGCTCTTCTGTTACTCTCCTTCAACAAGAAAAATAGTAAAATCATAAACTGTGTTTTTTATTGTTCAGTGTGTAAAATGCTTACAGACATAGACCTACTGGCGCTGGTTTCAGCCAAAAGGGGGCGTGGAAGACAAGAAAGTAACGTCTGCTCTTATCTATAAATAACGTAGGATGCTGCTGTAGATGTGTACTTTTATGAATTGAATGCTCTTTTGTGACACGTATAATGTCTTACTGGATTCCTATATATATATATATATATATATATATATATATATGTAAACTAGTGTGTAACTAATTATTTTATGAATGAACAATGCTGGTTAATTGTGTCTGTGTATTTGTGTGTTTGTCTTTAAATTCTGCTCAATCTTGTTTCTGTTTTCTGAGTGTTTAATTACTTTTAGAGCAGTCGACTAGCATGCTTTTAAATTTCCGTCTCATCGCCGGAATCGGTCGTAGTTTTATCTGCTGTGGTTACAACAAGCTGATGTGGTGAATCAGAGGAGTGAAGGGCTGGTTATCAGTATAAAAGCATTGTGTAGCAAACATCCCTCTAACGTTAGCAGCATTCAGTGAACCACATTAAAGATCAATCTGATATAAAGTGTGCTGTGTGGGAGGAGCAGACGACATGTAAACGTCCTCAGAGCTGCAGTTTCTCCACCGTTCATCAGCTCCACTGAACCTGCCTTTCTTTCCTCCTTTCAATCGCCATGGCAACGTGTAGCCATAGGCCATTATTCTTAATGGCTACCTTGGGCCCCTCAGTGTGTGTGTGTGTGTGTCATATAACAGTTAGTGCAAAGTGGTGTCCTAGTATACACACTCCAACAATTCCACCTCAATAAACAAAGTAAAGTCTCATTTTATGTGTGTGTGTGTGTGTGTGTGTGTGTGTGTGTGTGTGTGTGTGTGTGTGTGTGTGTGTGTGTGTGTGTGTGTGTGTGTGTGTGTGGATGTTGATGAATGCTCTGGTCCTTGAATGTGTCGCCTGTAAAGCTGCATTATCATGTAGTCTGGATGTTAGTGGTGCTGCTGTTATATAATTTAAACATTAATAATAACACTGAACAATAATATTCATATTATTACCAAAGTTATTTAAATCTGCTTTTTGTTGGTTAAAAATGTCTCAACTCTTCAAAATGTGGTTGCTTACATAGATTAGCATAGCACGTAGCATATAAGTACAGGAAAGGAGGAAGTTGACCGAGGCTTGCTCAACTGTGATTGGAACACAGAGTGGAGGGGGCGGGGCTTAACAAGGGTGGGCGTGCTTCTCAATTGGGAATGATTCTGATTCACTCATAGGTTCGTGAATCCCACTGATCGAATCCAATTTATGCATTGTTATTGATCCCAATACCATTATGGATTCTGCTCATCGGTCTGTTGATTCTCTTATTGATTCCTGATCAGTTTCTGTGAGCCTGAACGCTTTGGACCGGTTCTTCCTCACCGCTGTCTCGCATTGTTTAACAATTAACTGTCAGAAAATCGGTGGCATTGATCAAATGAACTGATCAGGTTGAAATGAACGATTTGGAACCCGTCCATTGATCAAATGAACTGATCGGGTTGAAATGAACCCGTCTCTGCTGCAGAAACTTACTCCTTTTAGACGATCAATAAACAGCGATCATTAACTACCTGCTGACAGGCGTTTGTACTCATTGTGTTAACCGATCAGCTGAGCACTGCACCAATCATATCAAAGTATTGATCTGCAGGAGCAGAGGTGTATTTGTTTCTGAGCCACGAGCAGCTGAATGGACGGATATTGATTCTGCCGTCTCCTATAAACGACTCCATCACTTTCTCCTCTTCCTTTTCATTCTTCCTCTGCACAATTAATTTAACGCCATCTTTGCTTTAGAGGACACACACACACACACACACACACACACACACACACACACACACACACACACACAGAGCCTGGTCCATTGAGCAGAATGAAAATGCAGTTTGTGGAGTCTCTGGAGCTCAGCAGGGTGAACTGATGAGACCAAACAGAGCGCGCTCAGAACAGTGTCTTACACAACGGATAACACACACACACACACACACACACACACACACACACACACACACACACACACACACTACATGTATTGATATACGGTACTTTTGCCACACAGACTGTTGATCCTTGAGCAATATGTGAGTTCTTCTGCCTCTGTGAGGACATTTTTCTGTGTTCATGTTTATTCTCATCGGACCGCAGCAATAAACAGTGTATAAACTCTAGAGCTACATTCTATATTCAATCAATAATCTATAATCAATAAACAGTGTATAAACTCTAGAGCTACATTCTATATTCAATCAATAATCTATAATCAATAAACAGTGTATAAACTCTAGAGCTACATTCTATATTCAATCAATAATCTATAATCAATAAACAAGATGAAGATGAAGATAAAGATAAAGATGATGAAGATGATGAAGATGATGAAGATGAAGATGAAGATGAAGACGAAGACGATGAAGATGATGAAGATGAAGATGAAGACTTACTTCTTCCTGGTGTCGTAGCGTCCCGTGGTTCCGAGGCTCTGTGAGGGAACAGAGGAGGAGATGATGAGCTTTATATTGACTGTTGGATTATTGGACACTTTCTCTCAGTCAGCGGATAAAATACAATTTTCCAGGACAACACAGATTATTTCAGGATATTTGATCCATTTTAATACATTTCCAGGTGTTTCCATGATTTTAAAACCAGTTTCTACAAGTCTCACTGCTGTTTGTCGGGTTTTATATTCTTATAATATATATTTATAATCACTGATATCGATCAATCCTACAGTACATCACCACCTACTGCATGGATATAAAGTCATTATTTCACAGTTTGAGCTCTATAGACTTTATATGTTGTTTTTATATATATTATATATTGTTATGTTTTCACCAACGTGTATGTACATAATAGTTAATATATTAATAATATTAATAACTCCCTGTATGTGTACAGTCCTCAGTAGCAGGGTGGTGATGGTGTATTTCTAACGGGAACCACAGTGAGACATTTGCTCTGCAACGTCACGTGTGAAGGAGACGACGGGTCGATTTGATGGAGGAATGGCAGGTTCGGACGGCGTGGGGTTTAAATATTCCGTCGCCTTGACAACTGAAGACAACCCTGTGAGGGGAAATTACCGTCTGTATGCGAGCGATCACTCTGGCTCTCTGAGGTCTCCTCTCAATTCAATTCAATTTTATTTGTATAGCACCAATTCATAACAGAAGTTATCTCAGGACACTTTTCAAATAGAGCAGGTCTAGACCGAACTCTTTATAACATTAATTACAGAGACCCAACAGTACCACCATGAGCAAGACCTTGGAGACAAGGGCAAGGAAAAACTGCCTGTTAAAAGGCAGAAACCTAGGACAGATCCTCCGGCTCTAGGTGGGTGGTCGTCTGTCTCGACCAGTTGGGGTGAGAGAGAGAGAGAGAGAGACAGAGAGAGAGAGAGACATGGCACATGGACGGCCTGAAGACGTTAACAATGCGCCGCCCTGCAGGGATCCTCCATATCTGTGAGGATGAAGCTCTCCTCTGCTGGAGACATCTTCTTCCTCACATGAGATCTCTGCAGGTCGCTGCCTTGCTGTCAGCTCCTATTTCATTCTGGCTTCCTTCCCCCATCGTACAGGATACTTTTATCATGGCTCACTGTCAGCTCAACAAGTCCTCTGAATCAGTGCCTCAACCACTGACCAGTCCTTCGTACCGTCTCTACCACTGTGGACCCCAGCAGGGTTCCCATTTCTTTTTAAGTAATCATTTTCCAGGACACAACAGAACATATAATTTACAGACAGGTCGAGTATAAACAGATTTAACTCCAGTTTTATTCCTTGTTAATGTAAATTGTCTAATAGAACAATGGCCAAGCACCAGGGACAAGGAAACAATGAATTTGTCAAAAAAGAAGCCTATTAAGTACGATTGTTACAAATAACAATAAAATATACAATACAGATAGAAAGTTCATACAAATGATTCGTTTTACACAAACTTCCTGCAGTTCCTACAGTTTTTAATATAATATGAAATCTCCATCAAGGAAGAAAAGGGTTCCTTAAGGGACGATGTTGGGAACCGCGGCTGTACACTAATAACATCCCTTCTACCTTTGTTCTGGAAGTACAGGAACAATATTCATCATTAGTCTGTTACTTCCTCACTGCCAGCAGGAACAGGTTGGAGAGGTTATTGGTGAAGACCAGCCTCTCCTCCTCTGCTCTCTCATATCTTCACTCTGGATCGTGATGAGGGCAGCAGCGGGAAGTTTTTGGCGGCGCCGTTCTCCGGTGAAGGCGGATGCTTTGCCTCCCGCCGGCCGCAAAATGAGATTATGGCTCAATCCGCGGGAGGAAATGTGTTGACTGCTCCTCACACTCACATACAGCACACAGCGGGCCTTCAGTGTCGAACAAACCGCTGATAGAGACTAAAACACACACACCTCCCAAAGATACACTTGTAAAGAGCATCATCAACATAATGTTAACAGCAGTCACACAGTCGTGACTCTGTTCAAACAGCTTCTCTGCCGCAGACTCTCTCCACGGACTCAGAAACCATCCGGTGGCTGAAAGCAGCTGATGGGAGATACAAGAACCCACCGTTCACTGCAGCAGCGTTAAAGGACAGAGGCTCACATCACAACTCTTCTGTTCGTAGATGAATCATATCGGGGTACAAAATGTTACCTTTGTCCCGAGGGCAGTGCAGGGGACTCTTTATTGTCTATACGGTGGCCTTATTAGGACATCTGAGCCTGACCTGTTGTACGTAACCCTTTCCTTCTGCAGTTGAATCAGGTTTACAGTCAACTTAATTTACTCTGAATAAAATGATCTTGTATAAAGGATGAACTCCACAGCGAGGGCAGGAATCCTGTCTTCATCTCTTTATTCCTCTCTGTCTTCCATCCAACAGTTTAACATGTCGCCTTTCTCAACCTCTTTCTAAGAACTCTGAACACATTCCTGCGAGGATGTTTTGGCTCCAAGGACGCAGTGCTGTTTGTACTCTGATACAAAGCCCACATGAGGACGCGTCCACCTGATGCCTCCACATCATGTTCACACCGGAGGAGCAGTTTGCTTCCGGACGATAAATATATAAAAGGATGTGATTGGATAATGCAAGGCTGTGATTGCTCATTGACTCTGCACCTGGACCGAGTGCTCCCCGCAGGTGCATCACAGTGACGATGATGATGATTGGTTGTGTCCCACCGTGCGGACACACACAGCTCATAATGATGCAGATTAATCCACACTGAGCAAACCCAGAGCTTCAAATCTCTGATACTAAGAAGATGTTTTCAGACGACATTCATGAATAAAAACCCCAAATAGTTGAGTTAACCGCTGAGAAGAGTCTCAGTGAAACCAAACCAACGTTAAACTGCGTTCAGGAGCTGCTCTTCGTCCCCAGGACCAAAGTACCAGAGGTTGCAACACGGACCTTTTCTCTTGTAACACAGGAAGTCTCTTACCACTGCTCTGCTGCATATGCTAACTGTACCAGCTGCTGGTCCTATTAGCTGTCTGTACCCAGACTGGCAGCTGGAAGGACGGGGGGAACCATGCTACTTTACTGAACCGACGACTACAAGCTTGTTTCTTAAATAAAAGTGCACAAGTATTATCAGCAAAATGTACTTAGTGCAAAAGTAAAAGTAATAATTCCAGACTAAAATGTCTGTCAGTGTTTTTATTTGGATTGTTGCATTAACAGGCAAACAGCTTATAAATATTGTAGTCGAGTCATTTTACTCATTTTATATCCTGTCAGGTGGCTCAGTTTCTTTTATAATTTCCATTGTTTTATAGTTTTCTTTTAATCTGTAAAGTCAGTACAGCTGTGAGATAAATGTAAATATAAAGAAATTAAAGTATAAAGGGATCAAAATACTGAAGTAAAAGTACCTCAAAGCACCTCCAGAACAATCAGACTCGGTCTCAAATACTTCTCTTCACATTTATTTTTTATTTAACCTTTATTTAACCAGGAGAGGTCTCATTGAGATTAAAAATCTCTTTTACAAGAGAGTCCATGTATTCGTATTTATGCTCTCAGTGTCTGCTCAGTGATTCAGTGCAAACAACCTCTTTTATATCCGTAGACTTTAAACCGTAGAGTTACTAGTTATGGATTAATTTCCCTTTCTATAAGCTTTATATTCGTTCCTGCATCGAGTGCATTTACTCACGTTTACTGACGCCTGAACACAGCTCGCAGAGACAGGAAGTAGTTTTAATGTCATTTCTTGTGTTTTATGGTCATTTTTTATCTTTTGTGAACCCAATCTTAGTTAATCTATGAAATGATTCTCCGTCAGCAGAGCGGTCTGTTGGTTGTGGACTGTTTCAGATCTGCATCGGGAGAACAAAGCACCGGAGCCGCTCGTCTCCGTTGACCTGACGCTGAATCAAACCTTCATCCTGCCGCCGCCTCACTTCCTCTTTCACTTCCTCTGGTATTTCTGTGAATGTCAAGGTGCCCGGCGTGTTCGTCTTCGGCTGCCCCGAGAGGACGCATGACTCCTTAATGTCAGAGGACGCCCTCTCTGCTGGGAGACGACGGGCTTCGTTTAATGCTGCTGGGTGATTGGCTGGAGCGGACGACGTGCTGATGAAGAGCCTGACCTTTCGTCTTCATCAGTGTACGGTGTAAGGTCAGGACTCGTTAAATCTTGAGCTTTGCAGACAAGAGAGGCAACGTATGGGAGTCCGTTAGGAGGAAATGTACTTGTTAAACTTTTGTACGTTAAGTCTGTAAATAATGACGATGGGACAACAGCTGTAAATAGCAAACACAGCACCACACTGGGACATTCAATTCAAATTGGCCGACTTCCTGTTGGGTTTAGGGTCTAAGAAGCTTTTTTGTCCATCTTGATGTGATACAAGTGCGTACTGATCATATTCACTCATCATTTATAGAATATTAGTTTTCTAAATATGAAACAATAAATACATCAAAAGAAAGAACAAAGCCTCTATTTTTATACACAAAAACATATTTTATTCTAACTTTGTTCTTTTCTTTATCAGCACTTGAATGTTGGTTATAGGTCAAAAACAACAGTTTGAACAAGATATTATAAATAAAATATTTTTTTTTCTTCTCACTTCCAAACTGTAACTACTATATATATAAATATATATTATAATATATAATTTATATATAATATATAAAAGAAATACAAATGTTTCTGCACACACACAGAGCCAATCTAACTAATATAACCCCCCCGTCTCTCTCCCTCTGTCTCTCCCCCCCTCTCTCTCTCTATAATGGCAGGGCCGAGTCTGACCGCAGACAGCTGAGTCCCCCTCCTGCCTCCCCCCTACTTCTCACTTCACCTTGCTAATTTGAACAAGGCTTTATTTTGATATTAGTCGGGGTCTGAACTGTAGCGGGCTTGTTGGCCTCTCCCCGGGTTAATTAGTTGAGCAATGCCAGCATTCATGGCCCGGGCGAGGAGCCTGCAGACGGGGGGAGACTGAGCTGTCCCTCCTGGCAGCG